AAAAAAAAAAAAAAAAAATGGAGCTTATCATAGGACCTACTTCCTAGGGTTGGATAGAGTGTCATGGCATCATAGCTCACAGCAACCTCAAACTCTTGGGCTTGAGCAATCCTCCTGCCTCTTGAGTAGCGGGATTACAGGTACCTGCCACAATACTTGGCTATTTTTTCTATTTTTAGAAGAGACAAACTCTTGCTCTTGCCCAGGCTAGTCTCAAACTCCTGAAGTGAAGCAACTCACCCACCTCAGCCTCTCAGAGTGCTAGGATTACAGGCATGAGCCACCATGCCTGGCCAAGGACCCTAACCTTCAGTTTTCTGCAGGTCTGCCAGCAGGAAGCGGCCTTCCTCCAAGACGCCCTCCTTGATGCTCCTCTTCCCCATCCTGAAGTTTCATAGGATCTGGATAGAGAACTTCCTCAGGACCTTCCATCCATCCATCCCCATTGGAGAAAATGATGTCTGTGAAGAAGAGGAGGGAATCAACTCAATCAGCGGCTCATCCTCAAGACCATGCCTTTCCTGAGTTCATAATCTCTCTGGCCCCTTCCACTAAGCCAGCAGTTCTCAACCTGTGGGTCGCGACCCACAGGAACTGTATTAAAGGGTTGAGGCATTAGGAAGGTTGAGAACCACTGCACTAAGCCCTCCCTTATACCCTAGGCTAAGCTAGGTGCCCTAGGCTGAGTTAGGTGCCTCCTTTTGAGCTGCCTTAGGACCATGGGCTTTGCTGATCCCACTCTACCTCCATCTCCATTAAGGACCTGAGCACTCTGGGCTGCCACTGTCCAGTAATGAAGCTGTTTCCTTCACTGAACTGTGAAGGCAGGGTGGGATCCTCTCTTGGTCACCATTATGTCCTTAGCATTGTCCAATGTAGGGCTTGTCATGTGGGAGGTGCTGGTAATTGCTTATTGATTATTGAATGCATGAATAAGAGAGATAAATGAGAAAAGTAAACACTGAGACCCTGGAAATTCATGCAGGAACAAGGTAGACCCTGTTCTTTTCTCTTCCCGGACATGTCTTTGCACAGGCTTGTCATTCCTGGAACACTTTTCATCCCTTGCCTTCTCCTGACTACTCATCTTCATCTTTCAGATCTCAGCTTAGAGGTCCCCTCCTCCAGGAAGTCTTCCCTGGCTTCTCTTTCTTTGGCTGGGTCAAGTGCTTCCTTAGGGCTCCCACAGCTTTCTAAGCTCCCACCATTTCAACCCTGACCACCTGGATGTCAGGTGATCGGCTGTATTTCCCACAGGACTGGGAGCTACAATAAGATAAGGGCTCAGATGTGTTCATCTCTTATTCCTCTTGACCCTGGAGAGAACTAGATACTAAAGAAGAAAAAAACTTATAGTGTGTTGCTTTACATTATATGCTTTATCTCAATGACTCCTTATAACAACGTTCTCATAGTAGCAGACTGAGGGTCAGAGAAAGGAGGCCCTTGGCCCAAGGATAAACAGCTCATAAGTGGTAGAACCCTGCTGTTACTTCCTGTACTGTCTGCCATGATCCAGCTATTGTTTTTTAGTAATAAACAACATATGCATCCAAATGTTTTCTGTGCAAAAGTAGCAGGGTGACTTTCTCAAGGGCCCTGTCTCCACCTGCTTGCAGATGAGGTCATAGGATCAAACTACAGCCACTAGGGGACACAAATGGTGGAAAGAATATGCAATACACAGTATATAGTTTTTTCTTTCTTTCTTTGGCTGGGGCTGGGTTTGAACCCACCACCTCTGGCATGTGAGGCCGGCACCCTACACTTTTGAGCCACAGCCGCCACCCTCAATATATAGTTTTTTAAGTTTTTGCTTTGTTTTGTTTTTGTTTTGAGAAAGGGTCTTACTCATTTTCTGTCACCCTGGGTAGAGTGCCATGGCATTATAGCTTACAGCAACCTTAAACTTTTGGGCTCAAGCAATCTGCTTGCCTCCCCAGTAGCTGAGACTACAGGTGTGCACAACTGCATCCAGCTAATTTTTCTATTTTTGGTAGAGACAGGGTCTTGCTCTTGCTCAGGCTGGTTTTAAACTACTGAGGCAATCCTTCTGCCTCAGCCTCCCAAAGTGTTAGGACTATAGGTGTGAGCCACTGTGCCTGGCTCACAACAGATATATTTTACCAGAGTTCTCCAATTTCAGGTCCTGGGGTAATTGGAACCCATCTAATGAAGGAGCCAGGGAGAGCCCTACATATTCTTTAGGGAGAGAAGAATAGTTTAGAATGAAGTCTTCAGGATCCCCTTTTCAAGTGTAACAGTCCTTCCATCCTCCCTCCCTTCCTCCCTTATTTCCTTGCTTCCCTCCTTCCTGCCTTCCTACCTTTGTTGTCAATTATTGGGTTTTGTCACATGGCTTCTTTTGAATAGAGATTTATGTTTACAGTAGGATTTGCAAACCACAAGACTAGATGATTTCTAAGCCTAAGGGAGCAGAATATTGACACAGGAGAGATTTAGATAAATGCTGTAAGTCACTGGGTGGGTGGGGATGGATTGGGTTTGGGGTAGGTAGGGGATAACAAATGGGGCATGAGGAGGTTATGAGACTGATGATAATTAGGTTTGAGGCTGGAGATGGGGGTGGAATCAGGCAAAATGAGGATTGGAAGATTTGGGTTGAACTTGAGCTCAGGTTGGATAGATGTGTAATGGGGTTGGTTTTAGGGATGAGGGTGAGATTAGGTTGAGAATGGGAACTTAGGACTGTGGTAGGTGATGGGGATAGACAATGGGGCTTGGGCTGGGGAAAAAAATGAAGCATAACTCAGTTTGATTAAAGAGAGGATAATAGAGTTTAAAATGGGGGCTGGAGGTTGGAATGATGAGACAGTGTTGTGGACAGGTATGGAGCTGAGGTTGATATGGTGAACATGGGGGTAGATTGATGGGGCTTGGGATAGGGTCGAGGTAGACAGTGGGGACTGGGCCAGATAACTTGGGCACTTGACCGAGTTGGAAATTTGATGCTGTTTGGGATAGATATAGGGATTGGGATGACAATGAGATTGCGGTTGGAGGAAGATGGAGATTTAGTGTGAAAGTATGATTCAAGACGGTGGTGGGGTTTAGGTGGGGAAGGTGGGACAGACTTCACACCCTAGACCAGGACTGCCTGGTTCCATCACATCTGCTGTCATTATTGAGATCAGTGGCCCTGAGTATGTCAACAAGATTGGGAGGATAGTTTCCTGCCCTCATCCCCGTCCTCAATATGGAAACATTGAGAGTGGAGGAGATGAATAGCGGACTTACCATTGCCCTTGGTGAAGTTGAAACAGATGGGGCAGTTGCTATGGCCATTAAACTCCTTCTCTTGGTCTACCAGGGCCTCCCTCATAGCTTGGTACCACTGAGGACCACTACCCATTTGGATCCCAGGTGCACCGTGTACACAGGGTCATACTTCTTTTATTTATTTATTGATTGATTTATTTAGAGACAGAGTCTCACTTTATCACCCTCAGTAGAGTGCTGTTGTGTCATAGCTCACAGCAACCTCCAATTCCTGGGCTCAGGTGATTCTCTTGCCTCAGCCTCCCAAGTAGCTGGGACTACAGGCACCCACAACAATGCCTGGCTATTTTTTTGTTGCAGTTTGGCTGGGGCTGGGTTCAAAACTGCCACCCTTGGTATTATAGGTCCTGCACCCTACCCATTTAGCCACAGGCACTGCCTAGGCATCATACTTCTTGCTTAACTGGAGGTGGGAAGACAAAGGTCACAGAGGTCCTGGAGCTATGGGACCCCTTCCCCTTATCCTTCCACCATCATCAAAGCCAAGGCCCTGGCACCTTGGTGAGGGAGGTCAGTAGATCTTGGGAGTAAAGCTATAGCAGGTTTCCCAGGAGTGGGAGGGGGTCTAGTTCCTGAGGACAGTTGGCCCTTGTCCCTTAAAGCTGAGGGTCAGGAACACACAGACAAGAGAGAGCCAGGAACAGGAGTAGGATGGTTATCCTTATACTGGCCATGGTTAAGTCAGCTGCCGGTGTCTGGAGGGCAAACTGGGAGAGCACATTGCTGGGGAGAGAGTGGGATCCCTCCTCATCTCTTTCTAAAACTTGCTTTCCCTAAGCCCAAGAACTGGGGGCAGATGGAGAGAAGCAGAGACAAGGACAGACCAGGGGATAGGGGAAGGAGGAAGGGAGGGTAAAAGAGAGAGGCAAAGTACAGATAGACCGACAATGAGAGAGACAGAAAGGGACAGAGGAAACAAGTGATACAGAGACAGAGCTAAAGAGAGACTGAGAGACACACATAGAGGTAGTGAAGGATACAGAATAACAGAGGGATAACGCTCTTCAGCTCTCTCTCATCTACCTATTTATCAATCAGTGTTAAGGAGAAAGAGAGACACACAGGGACAGAGGCAGACAAATCAAGACACAAAAATAGGGAAAGCCAGAGAGACCATCACAGAGAGAGGCTGACATAAACTAGAGAGGGCCGGGTGTGGTGGCTCACACCTGGAACCCTAGCACACTGGGAGGCCAAGGTGGGTGGATTGCCTGAGCTCAGGAGTTTAAGACCAGCTGGAGCAGAGTGAGACCCCGTCTCTACTAAAAATACAAAAAAAAGCCCAGTTTTGTGCCTGTAGTCCCAGCTACTCAGGAGGCTGAGGCAAGAGGATCATTTGAGCCCAAGAATCAATATGAGGTTTCTGTGAGCTATGATGTCACAGCACTCTATCCAGGGCGACAGAATAAGACTCTGTCAAACAAAACAAAAAACTAGAGAGACACAGAGCTAGAGAAAGACAGAGGACAGATTGAGCGGAGAGACAGGAATGTACACTTAGCGGGAGATAGAGATGGATACTGAAAAATAGAGAGAAAGAGGGTGATAGAGGCAGAGAGAAGGACGAGACAGAGCTGACACAGAGTCTGAGGGAGAACAGAGTGACCGAGACAGAAAGAGGTACATAGAGACACAGAGAGGAGAGAGAAAATGAGAGAGGAAATGTTAGAGATATCCAAAGATGGAGACCAAGAGAGACTGAGGCAGAGAAGGAGGGCAGAAGCAGAAACAGTAACAGAAAGGAATCAAGTGTTGTGAGCCAGGACATCACATTGCAGAGAGAGATGCCACCTGCGGGGTGAAGCATCAGTACAGCAACCCCAATGTTCAGAACCGAGTTCTAGGGAGATCTGCACATCTTGGAGCTCTCAGAGGTGACAGCAAAAGAGATTCCCAGCCAGACTTAGAGACAGCGAGATGGAGCCAGAGACACCACTCCCTTGGGAGTTAACCCCTCCTCCTGTGATCCCCACTCAGGCCTTTTACCTGCTGAGCTGTGGGGGCAGCTGAGGTATGTTCTGGAGCAGACTGGCTGTGGCCGTGGCTGCTCCAGATCTGTGACCTACAGCTCTTGATGTGCTGGGGGGGACAGGGTTACTCTTAATTTGTCTCTGCCCACACCCCTCAACCCCCACTTTCTTTGTTTTGACAGTGAACAAGTCACCCATCTCCTGGCCTGGGCAGAGGGGCAGATTGCAAAACAGGAGCAAGTCCAGGGCTCCTAGCTCCCCCCATCTTCTTATATAACTTTCCTGGGGCCCAGGGCTCACAGCCAGCTGGAATGGCGCAGTGGGTGGGGTCCCCACCTTGGGAGCCCTCCTGGAGCAGTCCAGCCTGGAGGCTGGTCTCATCTCTCCTCACTGTGGCCAATGATGGTCCTTTGCCTTGGGATGGAGCAAAGGAATCTCCATTTTTTTGCAGTTGGGGCCCAAGGCCTGGTTTGGGGGGTTGGGTGGGGTTATGGGGCTATGGCGAAATGGTGGCCCAGAGATGGCAGCCAGGGTCCCTTTGGTGTTTTGGGCGCTTGGTTTTACTTCTCTGAGTTCAAGTCTACTTCTGTCACTGACTGGCTGAGTGGCCTTGGGCAAGTTGCTTTCCTTCTCTGAGCTGGAGTTTTCTTATTTTCTGGAGGCCTGTTTTTCAAAGCTCTTCTCAACATTGTCTCCTGCAGGTGGTCTCTGAAATTCCGTCTCATTTTGCTTCAGCCCCTCCAGTCTCTGCCTCTGAATCATTTTGTCTCTGTCACTCTTGTTCTCTCTCGCTGTCTCTCTTGCCCTCTGTGTCTCTGGGTCTTTGTCTCTCACTCTTTCTGTGCCCTTTCTCTTTCTGCTTCTCTTTCATGGTATTTCTGGGTAAGTCCTGTTCTGTCACTGTCCCCTCTCTCTGTCTCTGTCTCTCTTGCTTCCAAAGTCAGACTGCAGTGGGCAAGATGGTAGCTGGGTTGAGGCTGAAGGAGGGCTTGGGAAAAGAGTAGGGCTGGAAGCCATAGGGATAAAGACCCTTAACTTGTGTGACTGTACCTGCCCGGCACATACAGTCCTCCTCCTGCCGTCCTAAGCCCCCCCACCAGCCGTGTCTGCTCTTGGTTCCTGCCTCGGAAACTGGTCCTTGTTAGCCATCTTCTGGCCAGCTCACAAGGGCAGACTGTAAAGCCTGGAGCAGGGCCAGGGCTCCTAGCCTAGGACTAGGGTAGGGGAGAAAGCCGCTGAGGTCAAAGGTCTGGGAGATGAGATAGAAGTTTGGGGGTGTGCACCATGTTACTGTGGGCATGGGAGGAACGTGATGCCCCAGGTCCCAGGCACACGGGGTGGGGTAGATGTGGGGCCAGAACTGTTATTCAAGTCCTGAAAAGGCCAGTTGGGGCAGGTTTTGTAAGAGGGCTGAAGGCTTGATTATCGGATTTTATTTTTATTTATTTAGAGACAGAGTCTCACTCCGTTGCCCTGAGTAGACTGCCGTGGTATCATTACAGCTCACAGCAAGCTTTAACTCTTGGGCTCAGGTGATCCTGCTGCCTCAGCCTGCTGAGTAGCTGGGACTACAGGCACCCACCATGATGCCTGGCTAGTTTTTTACTATTTTTAGGAGAGACAAGCTCTTGCTCAAGCTGGTCTCTAACTCCTGAACTTAAGTGATCCATGCACCTTTGCTCCTGGAGTGCTAGGATTACAGGCGTGAGCCACCGCCCCGGACTTAATTGTAGGATTATCTATCTCTAGTTTCTCTTGGCATTCACCTTTACTTCTGGGGGAGCGTGTAGTGTTGGATGCACCCCAATACCATAATCAATTTTTCCTGACCATAGAACTTGGTTGAGAGGGGCCAAATGGGACTGCCTGACTAGGGAACCTGGGCTTCATGAGACCAGGAGTTTTAGGAGGCTTTGAGTTCTTTTGGTCTGACTTGCATGTGGCTGATGCTTTAACCACTGAGCTATGGGAGCTGGGCTGCTTCTTTTTCTTTTTTTTGAGACAGAGTTTCACTCTTGCCCTGGGTAGAGTGCCCTGGCATTATAACTCACAGCAACCTCAAATTCAGTCTCACCAGAACCTATTGCTTCAGCCCTCCCCAGTAATCAGGTGCCTGCCACCACACCCAGCAAGTTTTTCTATTTTTTAGTAGTGATGGGGTCTCATTCTTGCTCAGGCTTGTCTTTAACTCCTGAGCTCAGGTGATCCACCTTGGCCTCCTAGAGTGCTAGAATTACAGGTGTGAACCATCATACCTGGCCAAAATTTATTTTCTTTTCTTTTTTTTTTGAGACAGAGCCTCAAGCTGTTCCCCTGGGTAGAGTGCCGTGGCATTACAGCTCACAGCAACCTCCAACTCCTGGGCTCAA